TCAAGAAGAATTTTACATTTTAGAGACAGCAGAAGCAGCAGTGGAGAAAAGAAGTACAGAGTCATCAGAAGAGAAAGAGAAAACCTGAGCCCTGATTATGGCAAAAAAGCCATACTACCAAGCAAATTATACCCAATTCTGAAGGAGAACAAGCTGACTAGTCTTCCAGACCTCCTGCTAGGTTGCCGGAACTGTGCTATATCCTGAACAATGTTACAGGTCTCCATGAGACCCTTCTTTTAACCTACCAAGGCATTTTCCTGCTATTTTGTGTGAATTTACTCATCACCAGAGGAAACCTTGAAACAATGTTGAACTTCACTTGAATCCTGTGCTCCTGGAAAACAGCCACAGTCAAGAAATTACCCCCATGTTTTTGTGTTCCAGGAAATGGCTTACTGCAAAGAACCACTCTTCCCCATATGACTTAGATAAATCTCAAGGATGACCCTTTGGTAACCTATGATAAGGTCAGAACAAACCCTCCAAATTCCTATTCTTTGTCTTATACATGATTAGCTGTTACCATTCTTGTTGGTCAATGTCCATGAACTGAACTTGATCAAACTTTAATCAGGCTTCCGTCCTTCCTCCAAACCCCTGAACTTTGGCCCACCTTGAGCAATGGAAGATAAACTACCCCTTCTTAGTAGCCCCTCTCAGTAATCAACTGACATGAAGGAAAAACATTCATTCATCAACTGTCTAATCACACCACCCCTTCAGTCCACTCTCCCACACCAACTTCTTTCTTGCCTTGTTTATTCCTCCCTACAAAAGAAAAGCCCTATTCTGCTTGACCTTTGACATACTTATGGTCAAAGCATCTCCCTCCTGCATGGTCAAAACGGTTTTCCCTACTGCAATATTCTCCCTCCCCCTATTGCGATCATCCTCCTCCCCTTATTGTAATAGCCTTTCTGGATAAAGCCTCTCCTTACCTAAGTCCAGCCCTCATTATGACTATTGCTTTTATTTGACATTTTCAACCTGCAGAGAGCGTACCTTTACAAAACACAAATTAGAACCATTAAATATCCTCTTATTGACAGTTATTTTTACAGAATCACAACTACTATGTCTTTCTTGATATATACCTACATAATAAAATATATAGGACACACACATCACCATAAATAATAGTTGTTATATTTTTCCCAATGTTTAAATAGGAAATTAATTAGAAAATTATATATGCCTGTTAAAATGAAGCATGTTATAACAAAAATAAAAACCTGAACCCAAACAACTGAGGTTTTAAAATCACAGAAATAATTTCTTTATATTTTACTTTTATCTGGTATAGTTCATATTAAAAAGAAGAAAAAGTCTTGATGAATTTGTGTTTATGTTGGCCAATTATTAATGGAAGCATGAAACTAACAATAATATAGCTGTTAAAATTCCTTCTGAAGAATTTCCCTCCACGATCTGTCATTTCTCCAGTGTTCCAGGACCCTAGTCACAACTTAGCACCTTTCACTCTGAAAGTGCTATAGATAGCACATTAATTGCAGCACATACATAAAATAAATTCTAAGTGTCTTTAATCCAGAAAGGAAGTACATAAGACATTTCTATACCAGGAAGGACTTTTTTCCCTAAAATACTTACATTCCTACTTATGAAAAAATATTTTAAAAGACTACTCATATAACAAAGATATAACAGAAAAATCAACTACTCACCTGCATTAACTATAGCATCTACTTCTAGCAATGTGATGTCGCCTCTATAGAGAGAAACTTTTTCACTCAAACTTTTCTTCACCTGTGATATTTCCTGAGTATTTTCTTCTGTAACAAAAAAGGGATATACATTAATAGTAATATTCTTAAGTAGTTTAATCATGACAACTTTTTAATCAAGACAATATGGTAACTACTCTGTTAAAAAAGACAAGTGGAAATAACTGTGTAGGTACCAGGGCTTTGGTTTATTCTTTATTTATTTTGTATTCCTCAATACAATTGCATTCTCCTGTATATAATGGGCATTCAATAAATTTGGGCATGTTATATAGGTTAGCAGAAAATTCAACATTTATTAGTAATCTTATTATGAAAATATCCATTTTAAAATAAAATACATACCACTACATTCAAAAGGAGATTTTTTTTTAATGTGCAGCTACCAAGACAATAAATTTTCATGGTGAAGGAGGTTATTTCTATTTTGTTTCAGTTATCTAAAAGTCATCTTTGAAAAGAATATTTACTTGAGCACAAAAACATTTAGGTTCCACTCTTTGCTACTTCTAATTAACAAGCTGTCCCTCAGGATGGGACATTTCAAGGAGAATATTTGAATTTGAGAAACTGCTCCTTTCTTATCGAGTTGTATTTAACCTTTCACTCTAGAGGGCGCTGGTACATTTAAAAGAGAAATAGCTTTACTCCACACACAATAGTCAGCAAGCTGGTATATTTAAAACAAGCCAAAAACACTACATTCTAAAACCTGATATATTTTTTAATGTTTTAGAGCAATACTAGAAATTCGAATTTTCATTTATTTTTAACAAACAGTAATGATAAGTTATTAAATCTATTAAGCAAACTATATGAAATCAATGTTTTATAATACATTAAATTGCTATACATAAAAAGCTTTTTAATATACTTCTAGGAAAGCTGATTTATAAACTCAAACTTTTAAAAGTACTTATGATTTATGCTAACCTTTCATAGTAGAAGATAATGCTACTCATTCACTAAGATACTCTCAGATGAGCAAGCAATTTTGAGGTATGTGGGGAATTAGTGGTTATAGATTATAAGTCACCTAAATTGTCTTTGGGCCCCAATAGTCAAACAAAAAATTGGCTAAGACTAATGAAATAACCTGTGGTCATAAAAGTGATCCTTCCTCTCTCTACCTACAAAGCATCCCCTTCTTAGTAACCACTTCTCTCCTAAAAGATTCTAATTAAGATACTCAATGGTGGTAGTAATAATAAGGAAGAGGCAAATAATGTTAGAAAATTATATGTTAAAGGAGTACAGAAAGGCTTTGGGATACCTCAAAAAATAAGACACTTACAGTTGCGGTGACCACCTCAGAGACTCCTAGAATACTATTTTCCCCTGTCAGGTAGTGGTTAGGAGAAGACATTACAACAGAACTGACTCTTCAAATTCTAGTTCTGACAATTAACAGCCGGGTGAGCCTGATAAGTTATTTGTTCTCTCCACACCAGTCTGTAAATTAACACGAGCTCACTTCACTTCAAATAATGTTTGCCCCATAACAAGTCATCAACAAACACTACTTTTTTTTTTTTAACAAAGGTGACAAATATTATTTCTGCGTTCATATTCGGCATCCATTACCAGAACGGTTAAGATATTTTTTCAAAATATATTATTACCATTATTCACTATCAGTGCAAGATATCATATATTTGTGTTCTTTTCCAATTGTTAATGCCTGGCCCATAGACAAAGACTTTGAGCTACAAGACCCTGAGTTCCACATCCAGTCAGTTTCTGTTCTTACTACTTTAACCAAATGAGAAAGTCCTGGGGCCGGCCTGTGGCTCACTCGGGAGAGTGTGGTGCTGACAACACCAAGTCAAGGGTTAAGGTCCCCTTACCGGTCATCTTTTAAAAAAAAAAGAGAGAGAAAGTCCTGATACCCAGTCAAAGACGGCTGAATGATGATAAATATTTGGTGGCTTTGTCAGATAATCTTGAATATTTAGACTATTGTGAACCCAGAAATTATAAAAGATTCCTCACTGAAAATGAGTGTCAGAACTCCATCAGGCATTAAATTGACAAGCACATCACAAATGAAAGCAGAAAGACTGTTTCAACTTGAGAGACAGAGTAAATAGATTTCTAATTCATTCTCTAACTACTTTTAGCTCTAAAAAGTATTTCCTCATTTTATATTATATATGTAGTATATATGAAGTATTATATATGTAGTACCACATCGGTAGTGATGATTTTTAAACACGTGACAATAAATCATGTGTTTCTCATTCCAAAAGTAAAAAAAAAAAGAAAAAAGAAAAGAAATTGTTAAAAGAAGGCATTGGAATGCATCAAAGTTTAAACCATTTATACCACAGTTCAGTTTTTTTAATAAAGAAGTCCTTATCTTCTATCTGAAAATTTTTAAAAATGGTATATTTTAAGCCTAAAGTGAAGAAAAAAGAAAAGAAATTGTTAAAAGAAGGCATTGGAATGCATCAAAGTTTAAACCATTTATACCACAGTTCAGTTTTTTTAAAAAAGAAGTCCTTATCTTCTATCTGAAAATTTTTAAAAATGGTATATTTTAAGCCTAAAGTGAAGTTTTAAGCAATTCAACATACTGATTAAATATACGTCTGTGACGTGTCATTCAAGTAAGTTACTCAAAATGATCTTTATTAGAATTATCAGCAACATAAAGACATATTTTCATCTCTTCTTTTATTTTTAAAGACTCACACAAACATCTTTTTTCCTCAACGACCAGACATATACTTACAGCCCAATTCCTCACATAGTATGCCAAAAAGGCATATACATACTTACAGGCAACAATTTGATAGTATTAATAATTATAAGTATTTATTCAACAACAAATCAAAACTAAATGGCATATGAAAATTAAGGCAATAAATCAAAACTAAATGGCATCATATTTTTGACCACCAACTGTTCTCTGTGAATACAACATAAATTACCACTTAGAAGCCACCTCTTTCATTTGCATAACAATGCACTGCCTTCATTTTCATACAACTGTGGTCCATCAGGATTGATCCCAATGTATCTCTTCCATATCATGTGTTTTCAGTAATGAACAGGACAAAAAGTTGCCAAGTATTTCTCCTTCATGGACATTCTATACAAAGCACCAGTTCAAATTTTATACATCACAGGCTTTATCGAATTGCAAGGTGAAATATCTGTCTGTGTAAACACATGACAGTAATTACTCTTCCAGACTGTATATTGTCAAAGAGACTGGTATTGCCAAAGAAAACAAGAACTGGACAGTAATTAAAGCAGTAAAAATGGATTTTATTCAGAAACTACTACAATAGGAGAAAAGAGCCCTCAGTATAAGACCGGGTTCAATTCTGAATGCAACAAGGCGAAGAGCACCCAAAAGCAGGAGGGGGTCAGTGGATGGAAAATTACCAAGTGGAAACATCAGGGATAGAGGGGATTCTGGTAAAACAGACCTAATAGAATTCTTGTTGATAGCAGGCCAGGGTGATCATGTATTGCCTAGAGGATGGTAGGGGCTGAGGAATTTGATCAAATATCAAGGGTGATCAGATATTAAGGGTGATCAGATATTAAGGGTGATCAGATATTGAGGATGGGGGATTCTCTCTAAACTAACTTAGCAAGATTCTTGCTAAAACAGGGTGATGCAGGTCCAGTAAAAACAAGGCCTAGTCAAGAAAGGGCCTTAGAGGGAGCTGACTAAAGTTTGGTTAAGGAGACAGTCTTTGTCAGTTCCTCTTCTTATTCAAGGAAAGAAGAGATAGATATTCTTATTCCTTTGAACAATCTACGTCCATTTTTGTTCTGTCTCATTTTGTTCATTAAGTACCAGCTGAATCATCTATTTAGACTTGGTAGAGAGTATTTGCTGGATGGTGCAAGCAGTCAGGCATTTGATGAGAAGAATTTCTATGAAAGTAAAAGGAAAAACAAAGATTACTGGTTGGAGCAAACTATTAACCCAGTTTCTCAGTTCAGTAGACAGCCAGTTGAGATTTCTAGATATTGAGCTCAAAACACCTTTTGCAGTTTGAATGCCTTTAGTGATGGCATCAGGTATTCCAGTGAACTTTCTAAGTGTCTCACACAGCAGCAGGCACAAAAATTGCCCATACATGATTGGTTATGGTGATTCTTTAAAGTTTATACCAGCTTCAGGTTCCAGGACTTTGGCGAAAGGATAGTTTTAGTTTTCAGTGATGCTAAGTCAAGAAGTTGAGAAAAAACTGGAAACATTGGTTTGGAGAATTGCAGCCAGCTACTGGAGAAAACTAGAAGAACTGACAAAATGTGTAAGTTGGCAGGACCTAGTCCAGTTTACAGGTAGATAACAAAAACCTCAAAGAAAATGAACAGGACTAAAATTTAATAACCCACAGGGTGTGCTATGGTTTCCCATTGAAACATAAAATTTCTTTCTATAATCACCTCCCTTTTTGATTCTTGTTTAAAAATAAGTCTGGTCTCATTAGATTTGGCCTGATTATTTACATAATTGCAGCAAGAATGGTAATTGACCACTTAGGCCTGTTTGAGTTTGCTTTGATGGAATTTTTCATAAAGAATCTCAGATTAGACTTTTAAAAGTCTCTGGAGGCTTGGAAACCAAGCCCAGAATTCACCACCAGATTGTAATAACTGTAGATTTGGGCGAATTCCTCTTTTTCTGAGGTTCCCAAAATGTCCTAAGGTAGGAACCCGCCAAAAAGTGACCTTCCTTACTCACCTGTAAAGTGGGGAACCCTATAAGCCAGGTACCAAGCCAGTTTTTCCAAGAGGGCTTTATAAGCACTGGCTCCATAAAGTTAACCTTAGTTCCTTAAAAATGTCTGGACATATCTGATTTGATGCATCATTCTCGAATACGACATTTGGTCAAAGCCTTGGTTTTACACCAATTTTTCCAATTATGTCCTATTACAAGGAAGATGGATTTTTATTGAACTTATGCAAATAAGTGTACTTCCATGAAAATAAGAATATTTAGTAAGGGTTTCTGAATTTTGGAGGAATCAGGTAGGAAGAAAACTTTTTCATTTCTTTTTACAAAAGTACAATCTAATAAATAGTCATGAGTTATAGGTAACTTGAGAAGAGAGAAAAGGGGTTCCTTAAATAAAACATTAAAGAACCAGCAATGTCCCATACAATAACCATAAAAATAATTATCATTTTTTATTAGTTCATTTAGTCCCATGTAATTGATGATTCTTCTGCTTTATCTTGGGTTAGCAGTTTCATAAGCCCATCAGCTTTTTTACTAGTTCTGGAATCCATATTCATTTCAGTGGTATAATCTGAAAGTCATCTAAGCAATCCCATCAGAAGCCTGTATCCAAGAATGCCTGGCACAGTCTTTTCCATGGGTCTCTGGGATAATCACTTTTTGTTGAAGATGAAGCACTCTGGCTGTAACTGGTGGCAGGAACTTTCAGTAAGAATCAAAGTAAAAGAAAAACTATCTGTGGAGGACAAAAGACTTAAAATGTCTGTGGTTAAAGATCTGATGAGAGTTCATTATAAAAATGATTCAATTGACAAGGGAATTTGGTTACTTCTGTGGCACACATTTATTAAATAATAACTGTGATTATGACTGATAACATTATACCAGGATATATCACGGACAATAAGGGGATTGGCAAATTTCTATGAAATTCATAAAATTTCTGAATATTTATATTAAAAATATTTACCTATACAAATATAATCTAGGAAAACTTAAACATCACCTCTTATTTAACAATACTTCCCATGCAATTTAATACACTAAATAAATTGAATATTTTTCCAAGCAGAAAGTACAAATCCACTTCCAGGTGCCCTTTGGAAAATCTCAAGGTTAGCTCTAGACCAAAATTTTATTTAAAATTTGATTTTAGGAAGCTGTCAAAAATGTCAAAAGGTTTAAACATTTTGTTTCCAATGCAGATGACTTAAAAAGTAAAGGAAAACATTTTACAATCTCTTATTAAGCGCAGACCAATAATCCAAGAAAGCTTTATTGTTTTAACAAAGGGAAAACCAAACTAGTTTTTCGCCAATACACTATTGGCTCATTTTTTAAAAAACTTTATAAATAAATCTATTCAATCTTATCCAGCTTGGCCTTACATACGCATTCCTTTCCTAAAATCCTTCTATAATTTTCTATATCCAGGTTTGTCCTATATTTTTCCTCTTTCTCATTGTGGAATAACCAGTCATCTCACTTTAAGACAAAATTACTCTCTTTTCCCCTTCACAGCAACAACAAAATCCTTCATTCCTCACATACTTTGCATACAGAGTTGTATCTCTTCATCCTTATTATTTTTGATAGTTTCATTTACATATATTAATTAAAATTTTTAACCATCGGTACCCTATATTTCACAGAGAAAACTAAGAAGTAGACAATTGTGAATTGTCTGTCACATACCGGCACTCTGTAGCAGAGTAGCAAATTTTATGAATATACCATCTCAGAATTTCTAGAAACATGCTTCTTTATAGTATAATTTTTCAACGTGGCAAAAGAACATTTTATTAACAGATCCAAATATATTTAGCTTCTTTATATTATATAAAAATAAGAAGCCTAAGTATATAAACTTGAGCTTATATTCAGTAATTAGTGTTTCAGTAGTTTATATCACTTAGAAATGATCTAGATTTTTAATGAATATCTATTACGTAATTTAGCATAGGTGTAAGGTTGCAAGTTACTAAAAAAATTTGGAAACTATCTCTAGGAAGATATATTATAACACTAAGCAAAGCTAGTCATCAACTTAAGTTATGTCCCTGTTAACTATTTTTGCAATACATGCATATTAGTCAAGTATCATAAAAGCAAAAACCTAAAAAAGTTACATACATGGATTTTTGTTTTATTTCTGTGCTTGACATACAAGAAGTAATGGCTATCAAGCAATTCATTTTTATGACATCTTTAATAGCACATTTATTTTTAGTTGAATTTTAAATTTTTATAATCTTAAAGATTTAGCAGATATGAGTTTATTTGACTAGCAAACCCAAGTAGAATAAAAACATATGCCCATTTTATACTTAATGCATTTTATACTTAATGCTCAGAAGACATACCCATTTTTATTACACCAACAATATTACCAAAGATTTACCAAAGTCACATGAACTTCTAAAAGCATTTGGGTTAGTTACTATATTTCTGGGAGTTTTAGAAATATTTAATTTATATGAGTGCTCATTTACATCTAAGCCAATTTAACTAGAGCTCCTTTATGAGATTTTATAAATTAACTTGGTAATAACATCCAGAGGCAGAGAAATATCACATACACATATCATACATATGAAGGTAGGTCAAAAAGTTCATGGAAAAATAGAATTAAAAGATAACACAAAATTTTTCCATGAACTTTTTTAAGTACCCTGTACATACATAAAGATACATAAACATTCAGACACTCAGTTGCAAACAGAGATTTTTACAGCTTCGATTATAAAATTTTATCCATGAGTCAGGTAAACACAGTAATACATTCTTGTTTTTGGTCCATTTTATATTTATCAGAATTGTGCTTCTGGCAGATAGAACAAGCTGGGTTACATGTTCAATATGAGAGCTAATACTTATTAACAATATTTGTACAGAAGACTTTTAAGATTTTTCCACTTGCCCTGACACGTAATATTATGAAGACTGTGGACTAAATTTTTGGCAAGAGACTGAAATGTCATCAAACAGCAGTCTGGATGTCTCCAAAGCTTAACTGAGTAGATAAAATATCCAGTCTGTTTCCAATTAGCCTTTTTTTTCTTTTCAGCCTCACGTAGTTGCTTTTGGGGGTCCATGAGCCCCTTGGGAGCCCCAATGGGGGATGGGGACTTAAAGTTCAAGTGGATGTAGAGAGTGGAGGGGCTGAAGTAGGAAAAGTACAGCAGATGTGAACAGACAATGAAGGACGTAAATGTTTGAAGAGGGACATATTAAAGGATTGAAGGGAATTGAAGGGAAGATCGAAGGTGGCAAGAACAGGAAGGAAGCAGAAGCAATGAGAAGGGAGAGGTCTTAGTGGAGCCAGAGCCAATTTGGGAAGTTTTCCAAAGAAACCAATGAAGTTCCAAGTTATTCTTAGTAAAGTCATGCCAACAAGAAATAAGGTGGACAGAATTATTGGAACATATAGTCAGCAGAGGTTTGAGAATAGGGTTTCAGTGGACTGAGAACTTCCCATGGAAGAAGCAAGTTCAAGAGAACAGAGAAGCTTCACAAAGAGCCACAAAAACCTTTCCATCTCAGGAGTCAGGGAGTGAATCCCCACTTGAAATAAAGAGCCAGGAATAAAGACTTCCTGCCCGGTAGGTACCTTTCAAACAAAGAAGCCTGGGCCTCTAACCCAGTTTCAACAAGTATACTCAGAATTTTAAGAACCAAAATCTGTCCCAGCCATGCTTCTATGGACTGTTATCTGGGGCACTGGCTCAGGAGTCGAACTCACCAATGGATTCCTGATCATTCAAGGGGTTGCTGAAGGCAAGCCAGGGTGATCATTTTGCCTGGAGGATGGTGGAGGATGAGGAATTTCATCAGATATTAAGGGTGATGTAGGACGGGAGATTCTATACTGACTTAGCAAGATTCTTGCTGAAACTCAGCACTGCATCTGGCAAAAACAGGGACTAGTCAAGAAAAGGGCTTAGAGGGAGCTGACTAAAGTTTGGTCTTTGTCAATATCCTGTGACATTTAAAACATGAAGTTTGAAAAAAAATTGTTCCTTCTACTTCCTACTCTGAGGATAATATATATTATTAACTTTGCACTGTGCTTTTATAATTGTTTACAATAGTTGGACATGTAAGAAAAAATTGTGAAAAATTTTTGAAATGGGGGAAAAAAATTAGTACATGTCCTGGTTAGCTTACCCATCAAGGTGATCTC